TATATAATTATGCGATTAAATATGCATTGAATAACAATATATATATTCCTTGACCAATCCAATTGGCTCCACGACATATACCAATAGTACAATCATTGTATATATGAACAAAATTTAAAATTAATTTATATTAATAATAAGAATAATTGTCTAAGAACTAAAAGTGAATCAAAGTATATATCATTGTAAAAAACCAAAAGACATTTACATCAAATAAATTCAAAATGAACTTGTTTAATATCTTTCATTGTGGCATCATCAGAAGAGAAGGCGAGTTGGATAGACTTTATGTTAAGTTAGTTCCAAATGCTATTGCTAGTATGTTTATATGATGTCTTGTGAGTCTCCATTTTTAGCTTTTTCCCATTGTAACAAAAAAGTTGTGCTATAATTTTAACTTTGGAGTTTGTCATTTGTGTTTTAGTATGAATTTAAAGTATATAATGAGGTTAAGATTGGTCATCCTTGGTTTTGGATTGTTTGAGTGGTGATTCTTCGAGAAATAGTTGTTTTGACACGTGTGCTAATTGGTGGTGTGACAATGGTTTCTTCAAGTGAATTTGTGGGATCAATGGTTGACTTTCCTAGTGTTTCTTTCGAAAAGAGTTTTCTTTGAAATTGTGGGTTCTTGTCAAGGTTCTTGAGATTCATTTGTTGGAGTAATTGATGATTTGGATGCATTGATAGTAGTTTGTTCTATATGTGTTGAAGTGGACGTTGATTGATTTGTGATTTCATGGCAGTCAAAGGGCTTGTAGTTGGTAACTTCAGTTTTCATTTCTTTTAAAGTTAAACTTTATTATTTTTTTTGAAAAGTGGAATTTATTGGCCATTAACCAATATACCATTGATAGTCTCAAACTGGAGTCGCTAGAGACTCTCACTGGTATGAATGAAAACCGGTATGGCAAGAAAAGCCTAGACACAAAGGTTCACCATTGCTTACATAACCCAGCAGCATGCCCTTATCAATCAATAACCTCACAAATAAACTCAATCCTGCCTAAGATCAAAAACAACAGCAGGAAAGAAGGAGGCTATACAACAAAGACATAATTCTTAGAAAACAACCTTAAACAGTGACAGCAATACCTTAAGACCACAAAACAAAAATGATCCAAAAACAGAGAAAAGACTTCAAGATCCCTTGAAGCCCTTGATCATCAAAGCCAAGATCCAATCATAGTAGAAAAAGTTGACAGCACATTGACAGATTCGAACAAAGAAGGATCAACATAATCAACTCGACACGCACCACTGGCAAAGGAACCAAGACATGGCTACATCTCCTTGGAGAACATGACAAGGTCACTAGTGCATAGGTACCTCTTGATGGTATCCCTTGAGAGTTCTAGTGACCAAAGAAACTCCTAGACGATCCCCCCTGCATGCCTCAAGACATGATCAGACTTTGTTTGAGATGAGAAATTATAAACCCCACTCCCAAGAGCATTGCCCTCCCGCATTTGACACCACCTCAGCCTCCTCGACACTCATAAGACCTTGATCCCCTATTTTGCAAAGCCACCCATTTAATCCGCATAAATGTTCATAACATCACTATGGCACATCACCCTCTCCTTGGCTAAACTGTAAGCTAACTGGTTATTCTCTCGAAATATATGATTGACTTCCCACTTCCTTATTCCTTTCTTTAGCTTCTCGATGTGTAACATCCACTTCCTGAATCTCCATGGTGCTTCCCTTGGTGCATTAATCCATTTCATTGCATTTTGTGAGTCACTTTCAATCACAAGCGTATAGGAAATAGCTCACTTAGAAGCTGAGAAAATCATAAAAGCTTCCCTAATGGCTTTAACTTCTGCAAGGTTAGAATTACCTATCTCGATAGATTTGGAAAAAAGCACTTTAATTTGCCCCTTATCATCGAGCATCACCCCACTTATCCCGGCTTCGTCGAGACATCCTTAGGCAGCTCCATCAACGTTGAACTTCATTTCCCCTAGATTCTATTTTTTCCATTCATCCACTTTTCTTTCCTTCCTAACTTTCCTCATCACTGCTCTAAGAGGTGGATATCGATACGTGTCCACAGCAGTCCCATATTCATTCGGCCACCTCGCTTTAGCCCACGTTACAACTTTAAGTTTACTTACTTCATAAACTTGGTTGCCATCCCAACCTTTCCCACTAAAAACCATTTCATTTCTTTGAAGCCATGTCGACCACACTATTGTATAAAACCCCATTGTCCATATTTTTAGTTCTCCCTGTTTCACGTTAGAATTATTCCACAGCTTAAAAAATAAACCCACATTATTTGGCACAACCCACTTAACTCCCAACTCAGCACACCATCTCATCTAGACCCTTCAAATTTCTTGGCAATGGAAGAACAAGTGTTTAACAATTTTCAGCTCACTTTGACATACAACACATTTAGCGAGATTGTTAGTGATCATACCTCTTCTTGCCAACTCGTGTTTGACTGCCACCCTTTCATATAAAAGTTGCTAGATGAAAACTTCGCCTCTGAACGGCACAAGTCTAGACCAAATTTCCTTCCATGGATCCTCCATGTTAATGTTTGGTTGCAACACTTCTTTATAAAATGATTTGACTGCATATTGGCCTGAAGATGGGCACCTCTAAACCAATGTGTCCTTCATATCCTTATAGAAATAATACTCCTCCACTGTGTTTCTGAACTGTTCCCACTAGTTCTTCTCCCACCCGAAAGGTTGACGTCTCAGGTCAACATGCCACTCCCAGTTCTCACCACACCACTTCCCAAACTCACAAACACACCCATCCTTCTTAGTAGTGAGTGCAAAAATCCTTGGGTATCTCTCCTTCAGAACCCCTACCTTAGTCCACCTCTCTGTCCAAAATTGAATATTTCTACCTTCCCCTACAACAATGAGAAAGTTAGAAGAAACCTGCATGAAAAGATCGTTAGAAGGCAGAATAGGTTTAATAATATTGTTCCACATTGAGGAGCACTCTTTGTTTAAGTTTGTGTCAGGCAAAAGGTTGGCGAGGTTCCCTCCAATCTTTTCAACAATAACCTCCCTCCATAAATTATCTCTCTCCCTCCCATACCTCCACAACCACTTATTTAGGAGCGCTCTATTCTTAACTTCGATATCAATAATATCCAACCCCCCATCCTCCTTATATCTACACACCTTATCCCACCCAATGTAATGAATTTTACATTTATCCTCCACCCCACTCCATAAACACCTCCTCTCAATTTTTTCCAATGAATTTTTTACCCTTTTGGGAACTGGAAACAATGACATAAAGAAGATTGGAAGGCTTCCAAGCACCGACCTAAGGAGTATGACTCTCTCACCTATAGACAGAAGTTTAGCTTTCCACCTTGCCAAACGCGACACAAATTTCTCAATAACAGGTTTCCATATCCTTGTCGAGTTCGGTCTGGCACCGAGAAGTAGCCCCAAGTACACTAAAGGTGGTTCTCCAAGCTTACAAGCAATCATATTTGCGACACTTCTAACGAACTATTCTTCAACGCCAATCCCTATCAGGCTACTTTTTTAAAAATTTATCTTGAGGCCAAAGACCAATTGAAAGCATCTCAAGATTCTCTTTACATTCAATGTATTTCAACCTTAGGTTTGCAAAAAACCATAGTGTCATCAGCAAACTGAAGATGTGAGACCTCAAGCCCATTACGCCCAATTGGGATGCCTTGGCACAAATCCAGAGCAACTACTTTACCCATCATAAGACTAAAAGCCTCTGGAACAATGTTAAACAAAAATGGAGAAAGAGGGCAACCTTGCTTCAGCCCTCTTTCCATTCGAAACGGATTAGTTGGAACCCCATTAACCAGGATAAAAATATTGGCATTAAACTGGCAACCCCTAATCCAATTCCTCCACCGCTCTGGAAATCCCATCTTTGTCATTAAGAACTGCAAAAAGTCCTAATTCACACAGTCGTATGCCTTTTCAAAGTCGACTTTTAATAACAAACCCCTTTCTCTTCCTTTCTTGATAGAGTCTATTACTTCATTAGCAATTAGAGCACAATCCATCAACTGTCTACCTTTCACAAAAGTGAATTGATTTTCCCCAATGGCCTCTCCAATTACCACCCGAAGTTTATTGGTCAGAAGCTTTGCCACAATTTTGTAAAAACAACCAATAAGGTTAATCGGCCTATATTCAATGATCTGGCTCGGATTTTGGAGCATAGGGACTAAGGTAATAAAGGAATTATTTGCTCCATTATCTAATTTACCTATTCTGAAGAATTCATCCAAGCATTTCATCACTTATTCCTTGACAACCGACCACTGGTTCTTGAAGAAACTAAACTTGAGCCCTTCAGGCCTTGGGGCCTTGTTTCCATCACAGTTGCAAAGTGTATCCCAAACTTCTTTCTCCAAAAAACTCTTTACGAAAAAATCAGCAGCCTCTGAACTCAACTCCCTGAACTGTCCATGGAAATCTTTCAGCGAAAAGACCTTACTCTTGCAAAAGTCAGGAAAGTAACAAGCCACTACATTTTTAATTTCCCCCGGTTTATAGTGCCTCTTATCCCCAATTCTCAACTGCTAGATCAGATTATGTCTTCTATGAGCTGAAGCCATCGCATGAAAGAATCGAGTATTGCGGTCCCCTTTTAAAATCCACTAAACCCTCGACTTTTGTTGCCATTCCCTTTCCTCAATTTTGTACAGTTTCCATAACTCGGCTTTCTTTGTAAGGACAACCTATTGAATATCAGGGTCAGAAGTTCCACCCTGCCATGTCTTATTTAAAAGTTGAATCTAAACCTCCAGCCTAGTTATCTTATCGTTAGTATTGCCAAAAATCTGTTTGTGCCATTCCTTCAATATCGGTTTAAGGCCTTTAAGTTTCCTCCCAAGACTATTCATTCCTCCATTCCCCTCCGATGAATTCTCCCAAAACTCCCTCACAACTGTTTGGAAACTCTTCTCATCCATCCAGTGGTTGAAAAACTTGAAAGGTTTAGGCCCCCACTCCACCGCTCCCAGCCTCAAAACGATCGGATTATGGTCCGAAATAAAAATCGGTAAACATTTTTGAACCAAAACCTTTTCCTTGTCCAACAAATCAGTAGCCACAAAGAATCGATCAAGCCGACTAAATGTTGGTTCCTCTCTATTATTACACCATGTAAATTTGCTACCAACTAGGGGAAGATCCACCAGCTCCACATCATTGATGGAATCATCGAAGCTTGCTGCAGCGCGCCTCACATCACCTCTACCAATCCTCTCAACCTCATTCCTCACCACATTAAAGTCCCCTCCTAGCACCCATTTGACATCGTGCCTTTCCATAGCCTATTTAAGCTCTCCTCACACCCTATTCATTTCCCCTTCATCATTAGGAGCGTAAATGTTGTCAAACCCACATATTTCATTAGTCCCTTTCACAATCCCAATTAGCAACAGGAAATTTTTATGATCAATTGATTCCTCAAGTTGAAAAAAACTCACCTGCCACATACTGATAATCCCCCCAGCTCTACCTTTGGCTTTCACTGCTTTCCCTATGACTCTATCCCTAAACCAAAGTTTTCCAAACAACTCCTCATACGGTCTTTGAATTTTGGTTTCCTGTACAAACACCATATTAGCCTTATACTTGTCAATAGCTCTACGTAGTGCTATTTTTTTCTCACCCCTTCCAATACCTCTCAAATTCCAAGACAATATAATCATCTAAAAAGAAGCACACACAGGACTTACCAGGACATTGCCTCTAAACCATATCATAAACCAATTGCCTCCCATTCGGAAACCTCTCGAAGAACCTCCTCTCTCTCTGCCTAAAATTCTAGGCCTACCTTTTTACTTATATCAAAAGTTGCAACTGCTTCTTTCCAGGTCGCCAAATTTCGCAGCGCACTGTTAGTCTTCGGACTAAATGCCATCGTTGAAGTATTATCCTTCTCTTTGTTCCTTCTCTGTTGACCGCTAGCTTTTGGTTTAGAGCCATTATTAGCCTTCTCTCTGTCCATCTGCCCTGGGCTCACTTGACCCCCGCACTTAACTGTATAAGCCTCGGAAATAGCGGCACTTTCATTATTCAAAGAATGGCCTTCGACCTTTTGCCCCCACACAAACTCTCCTATCCAGTAATCCTTCTTTCTTTTTGGATTTTATCCTTCTTTCCCCTTTCGACCTTTCCTTTGCTTTTCTCCTTACACTTCTTACTAGATTATCTAATCCAATCAGTTAAAGCAGCGTCGTCAGACATAGATAACCCCAGGTCTCTGTATTTCTGTTCAAGTCTTCGCCTATGTTTCACCAACTCCGGGAATTTCTTCCTTGGTTTCACCCAACCAATTGATTCGGATGTTGTATCATTAGCTGCCCCATTTTCAGCTGAGAGCCTCGACCCATCGCGCTTCCCTTTGGAAGTCCCTCTATTCCACTTAAGCACTGCCCATTACCTTGGCTGGACACATAGACTCCCAACGACTTTACCCCACTAGGCCCAGCCTCGTTACCCTTCCCCTTAGCCTTCCAAAAACCCCAGTCGTCAGGCCTTTGTTGCCAAACTGGAGCCCAACCAGAGCTATCAGACTCATCGCCCTTTAATTGCTCTTTACTTGTGTTGGGCCCAAAATAGCATTTCTCCTTCCTTATTTTAATCAACAAGGCCTTTGCTCTTTTAACCTTAACCTCACTGCTTTGTAGCGAGGTCCACTTTACCAAAGCCTAGCTTTCTCTCACTGTCAACCCCTGCAGAGTCATTCTCATTCAAATTTCTTTCTTTTTGTAAGTCATCTGCACACCCTTCTGCATCTTTCTCAAACCCCCTTTTCAAAACAGGAGACCTTTTCCTAAGTTGTTGTTGTTGCTTTTCAAATTGGCCATCCCTAGGATCCATCTCCGCCGTTGCTTTGACTTTTTTAACCATATCCGCCCCTTCAACGGTTGAAGATTTGACATCTCTATCACTCCTGGGTCTTATCAGATCACAGAACTGGTGATGACCTAACCCGCCTGACCCCTTCCCTCTTGTCAACACGGGCACTGGTTGATCTAGATCGCAAGCTTCCACTCCGATCACAGTGGCTTTCATTGTAAAACACTTGTCATTGACAATAATCTGAGAGCAAGCAGGAATTTTTCTTGTGCTTGAGACTTCCACTTGAATCACCGCTGCATCAAATCTAGTCATGTGTTGGGTAGCCAGAGCCACCTGTATAAACCTACCCCAACAATTTCCCATTGCTTCAAAGATTTTTGAATTCCATAAGTGCATCGGGAGCTCTTTGACCCTAATCCAGACCAAATACCTCCTATCATCAGTGGTCAAGTAGTGTTAAACTTTATTATTAATGTTCTTGTTTGATTTTTCAGTGTTTTAATTGGACTGGGGAGAGTTAATTATCAATGCTTTTGACTACTTCCAGTTTCGAAATTAATACTTTTACTGGTTTTTCTACCAAAAGCAACAACCTTCATTTCTCTAGTGTTGTCTTCAATAATAGTTCACTAGAAATGTCTGGGTTTGTAAATTTTATACATAGTTAATGTTAAAAATTTTAATTAGTTGATATCAAGAATTGTTTATTAATGTTATTAATTTTTAATACTATAATTGTTATTGATTGTTTAAAGAAAAAATAAAATAATTTGTTTGTTATGATGCAAATTTAAAATAATAAATGATATTATAATACACAGTAATGTATTAAAATAAATAAACAAATTGTGTTAATTTATAATATAAAGGCGCAAGAATAAAAGAATTGAATGGTTATTGGAAAATCAGTGGATATTTTGTTACAACGTCTAAAAATGGGTTTTTTAAGAAAGTTTTCTAAACAGAAGAATTTCCTTAATTTTCATTTATATATGTTTTTGCCTTTGGATGTTGGGCGTGATTAATTAGATAACATATCACAACATACAATCAAAATGAATTAAAACTTTAAAGTTGACAAAAAAGTCATTTCACCATTGACAACAACCAACAAAGACCAAAATTTTTAATATAATCATAAGATACTAAGATTTGATATAGTTCAATCACAAAGCAATTGACCTATTGCAGCAAAATATTCCTCAGAGTACCATTTCTCCAAAGGGGGAGTTAAACCAGTTTCTCTCACTCCCTTCATTCTCCATACTAAAATATGGATAATACGTCATTTGCAAAATTAGAAACAGCCAGCCATACTTTTTATAAAAGTAGTATGTACAAATTATTGCATGTACCTTGGAATTAACAAAAGCAAGGAATGACATAGTGAGAATAAGAGAAAAATTATTCCATCTCCAAGCTTCCGACTGTGAGGATCAACATTTGGTGTACTTTGCATTCACAGTACAGAGGGCTATTAGTTGAAAATATGTTTGCCACTCCCCCTCATTCACTTGGATAAGAAATTATTTATGACGTCAAAACTCATAATGCTATCATGTGAAATGACCATAACCTAACGGATCAGAAGATAATAAACTTTTGGAAGTGGAACTGTTACTTTCAAGATCCCTCAAAATGTTAACCTTGATACAGAAGGGAATGTAAAATACCTCTAGAAATGTGTTCTATAGCTTTACAGGAATCATTAGAAAGACAAAAACTGTAAAAGAAAAGTCAAACAAAAATGAAAATACAGTAAAACAAATGGCTAAAAATTATCCCTTTGTCAGAATTATTCATGCATAAATCAAATTTTTTTGCCAATAATTATCACGATCAGTACGTTAACAGTTATAAAATTTATTTTATTTAAAAGTACGTTCTTTTCCAGCTGTGTTATTTTGACCATAGTTGTGCTATCAAGGAAAGGGAAATCGTTTTTATTGCTAAAGGAAAAAGAGGTTAGACTCCTGATTTGTGAAACACAGTGAATCCAAATGAGCTATGGCAGTTGTAGATCTTCTAATTTCAAAATAAAGGATCTTTTTGCAAGCATGAAATTGATTTTTTGTATACCTTTGTTTGTCGGGCAATTCTACCCTCAACAATGAAAACAATTTTTTCTAGCCGAAAATGGACCATCAATGACAACAGAAACCGTTAGTGAGTTTAACAAATCGTAGAAAACATGGGTTGACGGTAAGAATTATTAGAATATTTATGCAGGATGTTAATGACAATGTAGTATCAAAACAATTATTTATTTGTTAAATGATTTACTTTTGGTAGGTCAGATAATTCAAATATATCAAAATGAGTAATAATTAATCTTTTTTAGTATGTTGGTAAATCTTTAAGCTTTAAAATGAATATAAATGAATAAAAAGGTGAAATATGTTAGGGCAATTTACAGATATGCTTTCTACCTCCATAAATAACAGCAACAATAGACATACGATAATGGTAATTCAAGCCTTAATGGAATTAATATTAAAGATTCATGCATTAAAGACATCATATAAGCAAAAGCTTAGCTCAATTTCAAGTTCGTATGCTGGTACACTCAAAACTTAAAATTGTCTCTGTTATAACTAATTCACCTAGACAGCAAAAAATAAAGAGAAGAAAAAGACAAAAATGCCATACTTGAAAGCCATCGAAACAGAAATTGGAAGTTGAAAGTTGTGCCACATTGAAAACGAAAATCAATATGGCCCTTAAATTGATCTCTTGAGAAAATGAGAGGATAAAAGCAATGGTCATAAGTATGTTATAAGAAAAAGAAGGGAAATTATAATTCAGTTGTCCATTTGAAGGCAAGGGTTGTTGCTGAAAAGATACTGAATGAAACTTGTGACATTTGAAACAATCAAAACAAAAATGGAACAAATCTTAGAAAAAAAAACTAATTTAACTATCAATGATTTTTCCATATTGATTTTAATTGACAAACCCATATCAAAAATGATTTATTTATAAAAGTTGTATACAAATATTAGAAGCCCACAACTCAAAAGCAATCACAAAATAAATGGTGAATGTAACTATGGAACAAATGGCAAAAATACCTCAATGTTATAGACAAAAGCAGCCAAGACTGTGGAGAGATAGAAAGGAAAAAAGGAGAACCAATCAAACAGCAGAAAAGAGGAAACCTTTCACGAGAATGAAAGTCAAAACTAAAATTAAATATCTTGACGTTTAAAACATTAATTAGGCATGATTTGTACTAACAGTGGTTATATGAATAGCATATCGAGAATGGGTGTTTGTGTAGATTTGAATAACAACGATTTGATTCAATTAAAGTTGAATAGAGTTGAACCAAATAATGGATGGGATTTGAGAAGTCAATTCTGTGAAAAACCTTTACAAAATCTAGTTATAGCTCCACTAAACATTGGATCATAGATCAAGAGAGCAGCTGTGAAACAATTAACACAAATCAAAATGTATAGATAGGGAAAGTGCAAAAAGAAAGTCAAGGCAACAAATTAAACCATGGTAATTCTAAATAATTAACAATAATTTTTGTTCTCTCGTATAATGGATCATTATAAATTTACATATATTGACCATGCACACCTAAAACCTTATTTGGAAAAACAAATACATCATGATAATACAATCAACAGAGACTGGATTGCAGAAAAATGAATATAAACTAGCCAGCTTAAATACATTAGTGTGATTTTGTAATACAAATGCACAGAGACTGGATTGCAGAAAAATGAATATAAACTAGCCAGCTTAAATACATTAGTGTGATTTTGTAATACAAATGCATGATAATATTTTTGAAACAAATTCAATAAAAAAATAATGGCAAAGGTGTAACATTCGGTACTCGAATATGGTGGTTAATAGAGCTTATTGGATACCAATTGAAGTTAATTAAAGTATTTAAGAGTGTAGGAGAGTGAAAGGAGTAATTTGAAATAAAATATTCTGTACTTGAGAAAATAGAAATTTAATAATAATACTTTTATCGGGGATTAATTAATAAGTTAAAAGGTGAATCGGAGGTGAACTGAGACAAAGTGAGACATTTTGGATCTCAAGGAGACAAGTGAAAAAATTTAAAATAAAATAATATTTTATTTATTATCGAAATTAGTCATAAAAGAAGATTATATGACTAATCCAAGTAGAGGAGATGAAGTAAGAAAGGATTTTGAAGAAAAATGACATTGGTAAGGCTCGCGTGTCTTTGTTAAATAAAGCTAGCGCGAGTAAGTATATATTTAAATATTATGGTGATGCCTTGATGAGGTGCAAACTTTATATTATATTTGTACATATGGAAAGGAAGGAAAATAAGAGGAAATTGAAATTTAAAAAGTATTGGAAGGACTAAATTATAAAGCATGAAAGTTTGGAGGGTCACATGGAAAATAAGAAAAAGTTTGTGCACTCATTTGTAATTTCAAAATTTGAAGTTAAACTGGGGAATTTCCTAGCCAAGGAAGGTTAGATTACGGGGAATATGAGATATACATGTAAAAGTTACTATTACATGTAAATCATTGCATGCAAAAAGAAGAAAGCTAATGGGAAGCATGTGGGATCCCACCATGTGAAAGTTGATAAAGAGAAAAAGGAATAAAAAGTATTTAAATGGGAGAAAACCATGGTTTGGCAAGGATAGCCTATAGTAAACAACATAAGGATGGTAATGTGATTTGAAAAGGAAAAGGTATAATCATAGCATGAAATGTTATTGGGTGATAAGGTGGCATTAAAAGGAAATGAAAATGAAATGCATAGAAATACATGTGGAATAAAATGCATGTGAAATAAATCAAGAGAGAACACCATGTGGACCAATGCATGGACAAGGCAATCTAACCAAAGAATAAAGGAATGGATAATGAAACATTGCACGAACAAGCCACCAATGAGAAGTGGCATTAATAACAAAGAGAAGAATTGATTGGCATGACATGTAAAGAGAAAAGAAAAGAAAATAATAGAAAAAGAATGGAAAATGAGAGTGATGGTTGGAAAGGTTTCAAAGTGTCTTTGTTTTGTGATTTTAACCACATAAAAGGTGAAAGAAATATGCCAAAAGTCACCAAGCTTTGGGCAATCCGTCCATGAGGGAAGAAAAAGAAAGCTTTCACTAGTTAACCTTGTGTTGTCTGCCCACACCAAAGAAATAGCCAACCAAATGGCTTTGTCTTGAGAAAAACCGAACCTTTGAGAAAGAAAAAGAGAGATTTAGCTAGGAAGCAAAGGAAGAAAGAAAGAAAGAAAGAAAGAAAGAAAGGAGAAAGGAAGAAAAGAAGAAGGGGAGAGAGGACAAAGAAGAAAAGAGAAAGTGAAGGTTTGGCCTAGTGAACTTGAGACATGGAAGGTAAAAAGATTTGTCATTTTACTTGAAATGCATGCTTTGTAAATCAATTGTAATGTGAGATTTTGTTTGTGGTAGCAAGAATCTACAAAGATTCAAAGGACCCGAGGCATACATGTAGGTAGATCTTGGAATGCGTGGAGATTTTAGAGCTAAATAAGCAATAGGTAAGTGTTTTAGTCTTGAAATTATAAGTAGAATGAAAAATGAGATGTATATTGATTGATTATGTTTCTAGCAGCAAAAGTGGCCATAGATGTGAGGAAGTTGTGAATCATATTCGGAAATTCAAGCTTGAATAGAGAGGTAAGCATGCAAAGTGTTACAAAAAGGGTTTTTAGTGTGCTACCATGATTGGTATTTTGAATATGATTTGAAATGATCCTTTGAAAACCTGATTTGGCTTTTAAATGGTTTTATCAAACCAGAAGATTCGAAAGGAGGTCGGTTGTCACTTCAGTTAAGTGTGACCCTTGTGCACAAGTGAGCTTTTGCTCGAGAACTTTTGGGTCATCGACGGCTTGTTAGACATGGCTGAGGCCATGGTCTATAATATACGTGGCTGGGCCACGGGTTGTTATATATGGCTAGACCATAAGTGATATTCATGGTTACGACCACTTGATTTCTCCGATGTCAACCAATATCATTGAGACTGCCATGGCATGTGGAAATTCGATGGAGCGGTGCTCTCGAATTGTTATTACGTGGAAATAGGTCCGTGGGTTGATATTTACGATTTCTTACTCGAAAGCGATATCTCTTTGGGTTTTCAAACATGACTTCTGCTGCAGGGTGAGAAATATTAGTTTTTCCGTTGCTCCTTTATTTGATTAAAAGCTTTCAGTGCTTTATATATTGATTATGAATAAATAACGTTGTGTTTAATACCTCGGTGATGAGATGATTTATGAGCTTGTGTAAAAGCTTTGACAATGTTTGATTTCATGGGAGCGTGCGTGATTATATTGATTTGATTTTAGCAAAGTTGTTAAATGATTTCGACAGCAGAGATATATACATGAATTGGTTTGATATTTGATTTAGATGATTATCTTGCATTAACTTTCTAGTTTTACAAATAAGGCACAAATTACCCTTTTGAGCTAAATTGTTTACATACATTCTTATATTTTTAATATTCAAAACTTCTGCTCTTAGCTTGTTTCCCATCTACGCCTTACTCACGGAGTCGATGATCACTGAGTCTGTGAGACTCACCTTCTTATTTTCCTTTTTGCAGATACTGATCGACCTAGCATGCAATCATCGTTGCTTATGGTCCATTGCAGATAGGTAACGACATCTCATAGCACTTTATTCCAAGTCCATAGCTTGAAGTATTTGTAAATGGTGTCAATATAAATATGCAGGTAGATACTACAAACTCTAATGTATTCTTGCGGTTTTGGTGAATAAAGGATAAGTTGATTTATTATGATTTATGTGCAATTCTTATTACAAGAGGTATATGATTCAAGCAACTTAATGGATTGATGGCATAATGTCTAAAGTTTCAATTAAGTCTTGTTCAGGATTTGGCGGATTCACTCACAAGTCTCGAACGCCGGTAACGATTGGGGTAAAAGGTTGTTATAAATGGTGCTATTCAGCTCAAATAACATGAAATGAGAACAAGATTTTTAGAATATGTAACATAGAAGGCTCACATTTATTTATCCATTTAAAAATTAGATGATCATAACTACCAAAAATTAACTATCTATCTTTCCCTTAACAATGAGAAAGATTTATTTTACACAAAAATCATGCTATAAATAACAGCATTAACCATTACTCTTCGTAATCTTAAATATCGTCAAAGAAATAATATCAATTGAAAAAATTTCATATGTAAACTAAAATAAAAAACATAGACCAAATGACATAAGCATTAACACAAAAACATGTGGCTTAACAGAAGATATATACAAAGATACAACAAAGATGCTTGATATCTAAACTCAAATAACAAACAAAGACCAAATGGATTAAACATTAAGACAAAAGCATGTGGCTTAATAGAAGATATAGACGAAGATATAACTCTAAACAAAATGTAATTTGAAAGTTAAGCTTGATTGATTTACAAAACTTTAACCAAAGTTTCCCCCAACTTGACTATAGAATAAAAACAAAACAAATATCAAGAACAAAACACATTAATAAAAAACATACAAATAAATCAGTTGCTTGACTTAGCAAGAATACTCGTGGGTGATGATTTTCACGCTTCAGGTACTCAGTCAATGCTCATATTGAAACACATAAATTCTTGACCACTTTAAATTAACAATCACTAAATATGGATTAACATAGGTACACCCACAACAATGTTACAAAAAAAAGCTCAAGTTCAAAAAAAAGGCTAAATCCACACGAAGAGTGAAAAGATCAACAAATAAAAATCATAACAAAGCAAATAATTAAAATTAAATCTATAATCAAGGATGCTTTTCTATTGATTCTCATAGAGAAAGGAACAACTTATGTTTTTTATTCCTTTTATAATGACAGATGCTGGTAGGATAAGACATAGAATAAAATCAGACATTAAGCAGGCATACATTAATATTAAACTTATAGGCAAAAACAACACAAAAAATAGCTATAAATGAGAGATTAAGCATCCATTCATTAATATTAAACTTATAGTTGGCATGAATATCATGGAAACTTGCTACCTACAACAATAATAGATAGAAATGACAGGAAACTAGTTTGCTAGAAATAAAAAAGGAAGTGAATGAAGATACTTAATAGTTTTTGTTAGCAGCCACAACTGGTAGCAAATTTAAAATCAATGAACAGGCTGGAAAATGATAGACAAACATTGGAATACATTGACATCAATATAAAGACTAAGAAAATAAGTCCCATAATATTTAAAGGGTTAAAAAAAGATGCAAATTATTTTAGTTAATTGAATGACAAAAAAATACATGACGTGAACAAAAGACAAGCTAAACGACATAGATAAAATAATAGAGAAAACCATGCAGAAATTATAGAACACTACATCATGCCCAACAATTGATTATGTACTCATCACTCTAAATAGAAAGACAACACAAAACGTAAAAGACCATTTTGAATGATTGGCATACATTGGGACATTAATATGAAGGAAAGTTTAAAATTCATAATAATGGATGCATTCGTTGTAAACTATGGTTGACTCTATCTACGTAGAGCATGAGATCTTACGACCAAAAAAAGGCTGTAAGTAAAAGTAGTAATCAAAAACATTTAAGTCCATGCATAAAAAAGAATTTACTAAAAGGTTAGTTATTAAAAAAACTAAAAAAGTGTATCACTTACAATGGTAAAATACTCTTACTCCTCTAAGTTTTAATCAAAATTACACGAAAGTCCAATAGTTTTCAAAATGGACACTCCGTCCCAAGAATACAAACACTATTAATAGAAGTTATGAAATGATTAAGATACTCTTTTTTTATTAATTTTAAAAAATATTATTATATTTGAAAAAATAAAAAATTATGGAGCACCGATTAGTGCTCGTAAGGGACACTAGTGCTTCTACGAGGGGAGCTTTTTTTTCTAAATTAATAAAAAAAATATAATAGTAATTATAAAAATTAATCAAGGGTAAATTTATTTTTTTACCCTTGCCACATTAGCAAATTGACGAAAATACTAATGGTTGACTAATGGTTGGACCTTCATGTCTAATGAAATTTTTTTTTTGGGGAGAAGTGTCCATTTCGAAAATTAATATACCTTTGTGTAATTTCAATCAAAACTTATAGGGGTAAGGGTTTTTACCATAATCTTTATGATTGGTAGAACAACAAGTAAAGCAAAGTTCTCTCAAAAAAAGGATAAATTAATAAGATCAATAAGGAAAATCAAGAATTAATTAAGACTGTCTATATTGAAAACTAATATACAAATGAACAAATTTGATCTCATCACAAGCCTGGTCTATTTGTCTCATACAACAATCAAGAAAGAGTGAGATTTATGCAAAGCTTGAGTTAACTGCTTCTATTGAGTTAACAGCTATTGGACTATCATGGGATGGTTAAATTTCGGAAAGAGTAAATATCCTTCTTATAGCTAAAGGAAGGAGAGGTCGCACAGAAGCTTTACCTTAACAGTGAGAAGGATTTTTTTCTAACCAAAATTCAACTATGAATGACAAAACAAAGCATCATTGCTCTGAACCAACTGCACAAAGTAGAAAACAATATAAAGTGGCTAAATAAAACACTAAAATAATCCTACAAAACTAAATCACAATAGGAACATAGAAGTTTAAATTACAAATCTAACAATGATATGAACCAAGAAACAAAATTACAATAATTAGACTTTTAAAAAACAATGTGAATTATTTAAATATGAAGCAAATAGTATTGGATCCATTTCTATAAAAAGGACGTATTTAACAGTGAATTATTTAAATAATTTACATGCTAAAACATAAATTCATTCATGATAACAATCAAATAAAAAAACAAACATGACACAATCTATATATTTATAACTAAGGACAGTTTAAAAAATGCCAAATGTTGATTTCAATTGCATTTTAAGTTCTCATTAGAGGCTAATATATGCACTTTGAAAAATGGCAAGAATAGTTCAAAATATGCATTTACATAAAATGCCAAAATATATGTAAGACAGTGACCATGAGAACACGTATGTTGGTTGAACTGAAATCAACAATGTAAACCATAATAACTTTGATAATCAATTGGCATAGCGCTTGCATGTTAAAAACAGAACAGATTAAAAAAGAGGGAGAACAATATGAAGTTTACCTTAAGACAAAACATGGAAAGTATAACAGTCAATCATAAAACACATGGAAGACACAAAGATATCTAAGAATAAATATGTGGCATAATAATAAATCATAAAATACATGTAAGACGGAGATTAAGTTAAAATGCATCTAGATTGAATTGACCTTAACAATGGAAATCATACTAATTTTGATAAGCAACTCATGTAGTCAATGGCCTGAATAATGCTAAATGGTGCATCGAAAAATAGGAAAAACATTTTGAATTTTGTTGCAAAATAGAGCATAAAAAGTATAATAATCAATTATAAAACACATGAAAGACATAGGCGAATCAAAAACATATGCATAAGCAATTTGTATAAAAACTACTAGAACAATTTGAAATTTACAAGAACATATAAAGTATAAAAATAAATCATAAAATACATGAAAAACATCACAGTAAATAATAAAACACATGAAAGACATAGATTAACTAAACACGCATCTCCCTTGAACTAAAATTCTCAACATAACAAATCATCAAAGAGGTAAATGTAAAAAAGCACAACAATTAAATAAAAAAAATCCATGTAGTCAATAAACACTTAACCTGTTGCTCCAAGTTCACTACAAAACAAAGATGACAAAAAAAGCAATAAGGAAACTAATGTAACGACCATTCAAACTTGGAACTATCTGAGTAATATACTAAAGTAAAGAGATGAACAACCAAGTCAATGGCTTAAACTGTGCCTTGGAACTATCTGAGTAATACACACACAAGAATTTTCGTTTAAGCCATTTTTCAAGTGCAATTAACTATGCAAAGATACAAGGCACAGTTTTGATGCAAAGCATTGCCAAAGGGCTTGTTTTCTAGTTTTTAAAACACTTTCAATATATGTGTGTGTGTGTGTGTGTGTATAGAATATACAAACAACTTCCAAATCAATTTGCATTCACAATTGTCTATCATTTTTATCAGCTATGTTTTTCACAAAAGTAGTGTGTAAATCATTGCAAACCATGTATGGAAATCACTTATCATTTTCTAGCAACTCATTGTTTCCACAAAGGCATTGGATAATACTATATATATGCTTTGATATGGTAAGAATCTTTTAAAATTGACACCCCCTACTCACCTCTCTTGGCGGGATATTACTTCACCAAATTAAACTCCTTATGTCTTCAATTGATCAAGATGACTTACTGGTCACATGTTTTCTCCTTGAATTATGTCCTCGACAATTATCTTTCACTTAGTCAATCTCCTGATAGTAGTTAGCTCCAAAATACTTTTAGTAACATTACAATTCATTTATCTTACATTTGCTGCCCATGTTAACTTATGGCTTTTATATCCTACTCCATTCTTTCTCTCATTCAAACATTAATCATCATTTTAGTAACTCAAATCATGCTAAAATCACCTTTCTTTCCCAATTAGCCTTTGCATATTCGTATGCATATTGACATATTTATACTAAAGGAATTCATAACCTTTACATGCATAATTCTCTTTATTACTTGTACCAACAACTTATTTATAACATTAAGTGTCCGTTTCAACTTTTCCAAAAAACATTCATCGTAGTCCATCTTATATTT